GAAGAAGAAAAAGCATATACCCCGTCCGGCGCCGCTGGACTCCCCCACCTACGGCAAATCCGAGGAAAACTCCCCCCGGAACAGCACCCAGAGCGACACCTGCCCTTTGGCAGTGGAGGAGGGGGCGACTGAGAGGAAACGGTCAGGTGAGAGCCCAGAGGTGGGGCCGAGGGAGGGGGATGTGGTTACTGTGCTAGACAGAGAGAGACAGCAAAAACAGCAGCACACATGGACCTGTTTAGGAAAAAAAGCCAACTTTATTGGATGGACAGCTCGTATTTAAAGCATGTCAGGCAGAGCTAAGACAGGACAGGAGCTCATTGGATAATTGGGAAAAACATCCATGAGACCGTACCTCAGGATGTGTCCCATGGGAAAAACACCTTTATTATGAATTCCATTCTGTTTTGACCATATTATCATCCTGGGAGAATTCCTCCCTAACTGAAGCTACAATCAGCTTATCAGTCTGGGAATGGACCTGAGAGGCAGGAAAATCCAAGCCTGGGAAAGAATTTTCAAGCTGTAATTTCCTAGCTCTCTAAATGTGTGTGTCCACAGGGAGAGACCTCTGGGAGCCCCCAGGGCAATGAGTTTGGTGCCCTGTGTCCCCAGGTCCCTGGGGATGGTGCAGGATGTGGCTCCCAGCTCTGGGTGGGTGAGACCTTGGTGTGGAAAGGGCTGAGCCCCTCGGGTGTGCTGGGGGCTGTGCTGGTGCACCAGGGCACTGCTCATCAAATCCCCCATCCAGGCAGGAGGGAAAGGCCATATCCTGCTTTCCCAAAGGCCATATCCTGCTTTCCCAAAGGCCATATCCTGCTTTCCCAATGGCCATATCCTGCTTTCCCAAAGGCCATATCCTCCCCTCCTAATGGCACAGATCCAAACACCATGGAGGGTGTCAAGGTATCCCTGTCTAACCCACCTCCCCTCACAGTGACAGAGGTAAGGCTGCCATGTTAGCCTGATCATTCCCTTAGGACAGATTTTTCCTTTGCTTCCCCCACCATAAATCAGGGTAACCTTCACCAAAACTGATAAATCCATGGACATTCCCCAGGGCTTGACCCCACCTCCTCATTCATCTGCTGGTGGACAGAATCCCTGCCTGCTGCACCAAATCCTGAGCAAAACCAGCCCCTGGATATTTCATTTTTTAATCTCACACGCTGAGCTGAAGTTTGGGGTTTGGCCAGTGTTTCCTTTGGATCAGGAGAAGGCACAGCCCCAGCTGTGGGAGATACCCCTTGGGCTAACTCTGGGGCTCCGTGTGAGCCCTGCCCCACTGTCAGTGCTGGCCATGGTGACTGTTCTGCCCCTTTTCTCTTGGTTTGCTGCCAGTGGCACCCCCAGGGTGTCTGGAACAGGAGGCACCATGGTGGGGCTGTGTCCTGCACCAACACTGAGGTCAGCCCTGGGCAGCTGCACATCTGGCCACATGTGTTTAACCCGGGGCCTTCTCCTGCCAGGGAAACAGGGAGCTCTGGGTGCCCAAACAGCTCTTTTCCTTTATAAATCTCCTTTTTCCACATGCCTGCGAATGCCATCTGCCCCAGGAGCCCTGGCAGCAAGGAGCAGTTCGAGCCAGGAGCTCAGGCCAGGCCCTCACGTGGCAGAGCATCCTCTCAGCCAACGAACCAGGGAGCCAGGGGACATAAATTAGCACTTCCCACTACCCCGAGCAGCCCGTTCCTCAGCAGTGTGAATTTTGGAGAGCTAATTCCCTCCAATTAGGTGGGTGGATCTCAAAAACCTGGGGTGTTTCATCCCCAGCTTTGGTTTCATGCAGGTTTTATAACCCTCAGCAGGACTGGATGTGCTTGGAATTATCTCTGTCTTGGTCCTGCTCCCCTGGCTGCTCTAAGTGAGCGTGTCCAGCTTGGATCAGCACCTGAACCGGTGGCTGTTGCTCTGGGCCATCTGCAACCTGCTCTTCTGCTTCCTTGCACAATCTGATCAAGCCCTTCTGGCCACCCCTGAGCACTTTGCGCCGTGGGTTTGTCAGCTGCTGATGGGTCTGTGGCACCTCCTTGCAGACTCCAAGCAGAACGGAGAGGCCAACGTGGTGCTGTCGGACGAGGAGCAGCCGCTGTCGCCGGCGGACGAGGAGAAGCGGCCGATGCGGCGCTCCAGCACCCGCGACAAGAACAAGAAATCCTCCACGTGCTTCCTGCTGGCCACGGGGGACTTCTCCTGTGCAGCAGATGGAGGCATCCAGAAAGGTACGGCTGCAGGTGTGAGCAGCACCTGGGCAGGGAGGGAGAGGTGGAGCCTGAGGTTTGTTGGGCCGATCCAAGACCGGTTCATCTCCATGTGCCTGCCTGGCTGTTCTCTGCTCCCCAAATCCACGTTTTCCTGCCTCTCCATCTGCTTCACCTCTGTCCAACACATCTCTCCGTGCTGGCTCCACGTTTTGTTTTCTCCTCCCCACTTGGCCCCGTTTGGGGTCTGTGACCCCGTGCTGGCTGCACTGCCCTCCCTGAGGACAGAATGCTCCAACCTCTGCCCCTCCAGCTCCTTTCCCTGGGGTTCAACCACTCATCTCTGGCTGGTGTGAGTGGGACATCTCCTGGGGACGTGGTGAGGTTGTGACTGAAGGTGACCAAAAGATTTTCAGCAGGGAAAAAAAAAGTCCAGAGGCTTTTCCCTTCCCCTCCCCTCTGGTGGCTTTCAGTGGGTTGCAGCGTGGGGAGCTGTGATGTGTCAGGTGCTGCCTTGCCAGCAGCTCCGGGCTGCCAGAAAGGCTCCTCTGGCTTTGGAACGGGAGCTGTGCTAAGTGTTGAGGTTCTCCATGGGAAACTGCGGGGGAGATGAGTCAGGAAAACACAAAATCTTCTTCCCATGACAAAACAAAATCTTCTTCAACCTGGACCCAGACTTCTCTGCTCCTCTGCCTTCTCCCAGCACGCCAGCTCCAGAGAGGGTAAATCCAGCGCCCCAAAATCCAGCTGCACCCTCGATTGCTGGGATAACTCTCAGGGCACTGCTCAGTTTTCCAGTTGTGCGGTGTTTTGTGTGTCCAGGTGGCGTGGGATGCTGCAGCTGCAGAGCTGACCTACTTCTACCTCCCTGGTACCAAGTGATGCCCGTGGCTCCCAGGGAGCTCCCTGGGAGCTGGGACCAGGCAGGAGAAGGGAGGATGTGCTGCTCTCTGAGCTGCTCCCCAAAACCTGTTGGTGCTCTGGAGAGCCTCAAGGGTTTGTTCCTTCGGGAACTGCTTGGGATGGCACAGACAGGATGGACGCAGGGAGGTGTTTGGGGCAATCACTTTTATCAGCAGTAGAAGTGAACTGGTTGTTTCCTCCTGGGAAATCAGGGATTCCCTTTGGCATTGCTGCTCAACCTCAGAAAGGGGACAAAGAGGAAAAGCTTTGCTCATCCTTGGGGTACCATCAGATATCTGTTTGGAATGCCTGATGTTTTTTCCCTGGAAGTGCCTTTTCCTGTGAAGCTGGTCTCTTAATGCCTGTGGAGAGGGCAGAGAGGTTTAGTCCCACTCCAGACTGGAATGCTGAACTGGAAGGGATGGAGGAGAGGGATGAAAGCCAATGCTGATCTTCCTCCTTAGAAAATGCTGAAGTCAGGCTTCAACTGAAGCATTTCAGTGTGGTTCCACTGAAGCCAGGAGAAGTGGAGCAGCTCTAAGAGTTGAAGATCCAGAGCTGCTTTCACTCACTCCCAAATCTCATCACTGGATTGCAGGAGACCAGGAGATTTCTGTCCTTGTGTGGTGGCAGCAGCAGCTCTTTGAAAGTGCACTGTGGTGATCGCTCTTGGGGTGTTCTGGTGTTTTTTCTGCAAGTTTCAGAGTGCCTTTTACACTTCAAACCAGAAGGTGTGCACGGGTCACTCATCCCCATGCTGCTGGAACGATGTTGCACCTGGAGGAAGCCAGACCTGGTGTCCAGAGGGGCTCCAGGGATGCTCCAGTTGCTTTTGGGAAGAGGGAACATCAGTACCCCTGTTCTGCTTGGGCTGTGGGACAGATGGGTGGGAGGCTGGCCTGGGAGGCCAGGGCTGGCCTAGTGAAATGTTCCAGTATGGCCAGGGGTGACCGGGGTGACCAGAGGTGACCAAGGTGACCAGGGGGCAAAGAAGCCTCCAGCCAAAATCCACTGGGAACTGCAGAGGCACCTCCTCCCCTGGGCTTGATTTATCTCCTGCTGAGGCTGTTTGTTCTGGTACTGGGATGTTGGCAGCTCTGCAAATTGAGATGAGCTTGGTTCTGAGCCCGACTCTCTGATGGCCATCTGTCAGATCCTGGGACAGGTACTGGTGTCTGTACAAGCTGTGGAAATCAGGAGAGGGAGCTGGTTTGGGAATAAGCTGCAGATCCCGGCATCCACTGTGGTTTAACCCCGACTCCAGCAGTTGGTCTTGTTGGGGCAGCTCAGAGACAAGAGCTGCTCCTGCCCTTGGACCTGAGCCTGGAGCAGATTGAGCTGGATTGCTGTGGATTCCTCTGTGGAATGTGTTTCTGTGGCTGTGGCTGCCTCCAGTGGTATTGCTTTGCTCCCTGCCTGCCAGGGATGGTTTCAGACCCTTTATCTCCCCTCAGCACTGGGGTCCTGCTCAGCAGCTCCCAAAAACGTGTCCTGCTGCATGCAGACACCTTGGCATGGGGCTGCCTTGGCACAAAGTCCTCTGCTTGGAGGATGGAGTCCAGCAGTGAGACTGGTTAGGATGGAACCATGGAATCACTTGGGTTGGAAGAGAGCTCAACCAGCCCAACCTTCCCCCAGCACTCGGCCAGCAACCCATGTCCCCAAATGCCACGTCTGTGTGTCCCTTAAAAATCTCCCCCTCCTTTATCAGCACATTAGCAGGGCACAGCAGCAGTTCTTGGCTCCGTGGAGCATCATGCAGCCGATTTTCACTCTGTTCCTTGGTGTCAGTGCAGGGCCATGACTCTGACCTGGCCCGAGCACGAGGGATGGGATCAAGCTGGGAATGCTCACGGGAGCATCCCCTGCAGTTGCCTGGCTGGGGGGACTGAGGACCAGCCCACATTTGCGTGGGGACCTGCAAATTTATTTATTTCCCCTGTGACCAACAACAGGACGTTCCTGGGCTTTGTTGCCTCCCTGTTTTGTCCCATCTGCCCCCAGCTCCCCCCGTGCCTGTGTGAGCACTCAGAGCCGAGCTGGCAGTGCCAAGGTCCAGGAGGAGCCCCTGGGGACACACAACGCTCTTTTCTTGGCAGCAAGCCCGTTCCTAAAGCAATCCCAGTGACTCTGGGTAGCCCAGGGCGAGTTACTGGGACACCAGCTTTGATTGTCCGCTGTGGCAATTAGCAGAGCACAATCCCTTGTGCGGTGTGGCTTCACTCTGTGGTGGCACCTGGCCCTGGGCGTGGTGGGAAACCACGAGAGCCTTGAGGGACCGAGCCTTGAGCTCCTTCCCAGGTGCTCCTGCAGGCGTGGCTTGGGATAAATGGATGGAGAGAATGAAGAGCTGGGCTTGGGGCAGGTTTGTTTGTTCTGGCTTCCCATTGCAGAGGGTCCCTGGGGGAATCAAACAGCTTTATGAAGTTCTGCCCCAAAATGTGATGCTTGAGACTAAATGAGAGTGAGCAGTGTGATTTTGACAGTTTCTGTGCCTGTTTGCACCCTTTTCTATTCAGAGCTGGGAGCCAGAGGCAGAGATCAGCCCCATAAACCCCATCAGCTCCCAGCCATCCCCAGCCCCATCACCCTCCTGCCAACTGCTGCTCTTTGGGTGCTGCATCCAGGGCTGGCCCAGGCTCTCAGGGACCGCTGGGATCTCGGCACGGCTGCGGCAGGAAACGCGGGAGCTCCTCACAGAGCCCCAGCACAGCCGGGGAAAGCAGAAAGGGGAAGGAAGGATGAGCCCGGCGCAGGTTTTGGGGAGTGCTGTGGGGAGCAGGGTGGTCTCTGCATCAGCTGCTGTGGGTGGGGAACTCCCAGCTCAGCTCCCCCAGCTCAGGGCTGTGCTCACTTCCCTCCTCACTCGCTGTGTGGATCCCTGCCAAGGAGTAAATAAGGAAATTGCTCTTCTCCTCAGGCCTGCTTCTGCTCCACTGCAGGGAGGGGAAAGCTTTGCTGGAGTCAGCAACAGGTTTGGGCAGGTGTCCCTGTGTCCCCTGGAGCTGTGTCTGCCCCACAGCTGGAGGAGCTGTGTGTCCTCGAGGGGCTGAGAGCTGGGGAGGTGTCGGATTTTGCCCTTTTCTGACCCAGAGATGGGGAAACTGAGAGGTATCTTAAAAAACTTTTATTCCATTTTCAAGGGTTGAAGAATCCTCGCTGGCTACTGGGGCTGGGAAAAAAAATGTCAAAACCCCCAGATTTGCAGAGATAGTGCTCTGGAACCTTTTCCAGGGGATGTTCCTGTCTCAGCATCCCCCCTGGTGATGCTGTGACTGCTCTGGTGTGAGCCTTGATCCCTGATCCAAGCCCAAACCAGCAGCAGCAAAACAGAACCCAGAGATGTGGCAGGAACTCCTGGGGACACAGGGAGGGGTTCCCCGCCTGGCACTGCCATAGGCACCATCCATCACTTTGTTTTTCTGCTGTCAGGAGCTGCCTCTCTCTTCTCTCCCCCCACACGCTGCTTCCATGGTCGTGCTTTCCCTGGAACTCGCTGGTGCCTTGGGAAGGCTCAGGCTTGGCTGGGTTTGCTCACCCGGGTGCTCTCAGGGAAGATCCAGGCGCTGGGACATTGGGCTCATCACAGCTGGGAGCATCATTAATTTTCCATATTTTGGCAGCAGATCCAGGGAACAGACTCATCCTTAGCAGTGGTGCTTTGTGGACCTAAAAATCCAATTCTCAGTGCAAAGACTTTGTGTCTTTCCAGCAAGAAAAGTGGCTTTCCACCTGCGAGAACATTTCCTCTGGCTGTTGCTTTTTCAATAAATGCTGGAGAAATTCCTGGCTCTTTGGAGGAGTGTGAAGGGTCCCCATGCTTAAAGAAATAGAAATATTTGTTCTTTAATGCAATTTCTTGTAGAAAATAATGAGCAAGTCTACCTGCTCCTTTCCACACAGAAAGGTGTCAGCAGCAGCTTGCTGCTACAGGGGTGTAAGAACCAGAGCTGGGGGAATCACTCCTTCCAAATCCCTTATTTGTTTGAGTTCTGCTGCTTTTCCCCGTCTGCTTCAGCCCACAAAATCCCCAGACTCATTCCTCATTCAGAGCAATTTGGGAAACAAAACCCAACACTCTAGCAGAGCAATTTGGTCTCGTCATTGATGACTCTCGA